ATAAATATTGTACACGTCACAATGGGTATAAAGATAGGTGCCTGCCCCGGAGGGAGAGACAGTGTGCCCATGGCTGACTGCTGAGCAGATCTTTGTTAGGCTGAAAGAACATCTTTTAGATAAACAATTAATAAACATAAAACCAGAAAGAAGAACTGAAGCCTCTTCTCGTCCTTCGACACGCGGGCTGCCCCAAGAGCATCTGTATTGCAGATTAGACAGGAGAAGCTCTTCAGCAAGCAGCATAACACCACTCCAAACTCACTACTGGCACCCAAGCAGGAGTTTGGACCTTCCAACTGCCCCTGGTTTGTCTGTACTGACCCTCAGTGTGAAGCAATTTGTATCCTTGTGCACAATGGCACAGCCATCCTGGTACAGGTAACAGCTGCAATTCTCACTGAAGCTCTGGTCAAAGTCAGAATTCAAACGCTTCTGTAGCTCAAGGGTGATATAAAAATCCCAAGGCACAGGCTGAGAATACACCTACAAGAAGGTACATAAGAAGAACATTTATTTTTGGAATAAAGTGAAAATTGCTCATTTTCATATTCTTCTCATCCTCTTTTTTTCCCCCCTCCCACTTGATCAAGGAAGACATTTTTCACAGTCAGAAACTTTTAAACTACATCCTCAGTTAGGAAGAGGACTCAAACTAGCAAACTTCTTCAATGGAATTCAGAAATTAAGAGTTGATATTAATAGATGAGATTTTACCAGTTCACACTTCTTGTACAATAACCATCGTGTGTGTTACCTTTATTGCAAATCCCTTTGAATCCAACTGCAAAATGCATCCAGTTGGAATAGCAAAAAGCATCTTGTATTCTTCATCGTTCCAATATTCCATTTTGATGCAGTAAGTCTCATTTCCTGTGAGGAAAGTTTACATTCATAAACTGTCACAGTAAATACTCTTCCCAAGTCATTCCCCACCTGTGGCACATAAAACTAAGAGGGTGGATATGAGCCATAATTCAAACCCATTAAAGCACAAACTGCACTGCAAAGGGTCTGGCACACCTACCCAGCTCAACGTCCTTCTCAGGCTCCATGTGAGGCAGAGCTCCAGCCTCCAAGTGAAAATCTGGAGAGGCAGCCAGTGATGGCAGCACAGAATCTAAAAGCTTTTTACGCTGTTCAGGGCTCCACGGAAACTGAGCCACATCATCATCTAAGAAAACAAACAACATGTAGAGATGAGCTGAAATTGTGTTCTCTCTCTGCAATTTGGTTGTGTCTGTCAGTAAAAGTAAGCTGGATACTGGAAACTTTTGATGGACATTCTGATTTACTATTCATCTCTTAGCAAGTCAACTCATCTCTTTCCAATAGTTCTGGGAAGTCAATGTGACCCTTGTCTTCAAAACTGCCTTAGAGACTTTTACCATGAGGTCTCAAGGATTCTACTGTAGCATCATGCAAAATGTATCTTTTACAAGAGACAAAGCTCTGAAGTATTTCAGCCACAGCAGAATTCAAACTCATTCTGCAAATCAACATTCCTTTTTTAAATCTATGCCCATAGCAAGTGATTAGTTTGGGGTTTAGGGAAATTTAGTCCTTTGATTATAGCAGAGGTTTGATGTAAGAAAAGGAGAACAAAGCTGGACTCCAACTCTGTTGTTCTTGGCAATGCTAAGAATTTATTGGCTTTTATGTCGTGGAAGACACCTGTAGGACTGGACTTACTCTCCTTCTTAACAGAACATAAGGTCATTCAATAGATGAGTTGATCTGTAAAAACCAAGACAGCCTCAATGTTTACTCTGCTTGATCATTTGAGATAAAACACAAGAACTAGACAGCCTCTACTGCCTTCTCCCAAATGCCATGGCTGAAATGAGGGAGAACAGTTTAAACTTTCACAGAACACATGTAAGCACCAGACTATCTACTGTTATGCCCACACTTATTTGAAGAGCATTGCAGTAAGCACTGCTCAGGAAGCAATTCTGTGAAAGAGCCAGGAAATAGTGTAGGCTGGAGGCTACAATGTGTTCCAAGCTTTTGTCATCACAAACCTAGGAAATTTACTGGCATATTTTGTGGGAATAAACTGACAGACATCTGAAGCAACTTCTATTTTTTACACGGTATTAAGAATTACTATATCCAGGGTGAGAGCTGCAGTTCAAGGGAGATGTGAAGAAATCAAGAAACAAAGACATTAAAACATCTGAACAAATGCTTTCTTTTTTTCTGAAGAGATTTTTCATCTTGCTCTAAAGTTTAGTACATATGATAAAAACAAGACAAAGATCCATCCAAAATATCCCAGCTATTTAAGTGACGTGATTTCTAATTGTATTTTCCTTCCAAGTCCCAAGCATGCTTCATCATAAAATAGTCTGTAGGCACATAAGAACATAACTCTGCAGAGCAGATATACTGAAATTTCAAATACACAATTCTAATAAAGCACCATAAGCCAAAACCAAAGGAGTCAAAGAAAGTTAAACACCTTGAACACCATCATCCAACACACATCTAGTTCCCCAGGCCAGATTTTGAAGGCTTTTTGTGACCATTTCTGTTCTAACTGTAATCTAAATATTTAGAACAGAAAGAAACAAATGCCTTTAACTGAAAGAAAAATAAGCAAAGAAACTGACAGTTTTAAGTATCAGTACTGCTTTCCATCAATAGGAATAAGAAGGATACTGTGAAGCAGCACAGCAGTTTACAGCATAGTTAAAATGCAGATTAAACCAAAATTATGCAACTTGCACTAGACTCCAAATTCCTGTTCATTCCTTTCAAAGTAGTAGCTTATCAGCACATCAGGAGACACACAATATGATGACAGAGAAAAAAGAAAGACAGACCAAAACAAAGCTACTTTAGCAGTTATTACTGCCATCCAGTCCAAATTTTTAATTTTGCAATTTGACCTCATTACTCCCACAGACTGTGTGCTTTACTACCCTAAGTAACTTCTCTGTCACCTCAATACTGACATGCTTGGGATGCTGACAAGGAGAATCCTGTACTGCACCTCACCGCTGCTTCAGACAAAGGAGACAAGCTCAGTCACAGTAACGGGAAACACACAAAGCAGAGCAGGAAGGACAGAAAAATCCCCACATTTAGTGACAGGTGCAAGTTATTTGTTGTGAATGAAATTCAGTTTAGTACTAACCAGTAACCCCTTCAGCAGGCAAGCTCTGAGCCAGCTCCAGTTTCTCACTGATCTGCAGGTATTTAATAGCAGATGTTTGTGTAACAGAGGACAGAGAACCTCCAGAGACCGAAGCAGCCGATGAGTGCGTATCTTCCAGGCTTGCTTCCATGATGGGGCTGTAAATAAAGCCATCGAGTACTCAGACTAAGCAAAGATACAAGTTGTAGATGACATCACCCCGGGGACTAGGAGAGGACACTGTGCACACCCAGATTTAATTAACATGAAGGAATTCTTTCCCATCCCTAGCAGAAAGTCAGAAGTCATGTCAGAGCTTCATTTCAGTTTTGATGATTGATTATACTCAGAATCTTAGTCTAGAGATGATTTCATCAATCTTCTTTTCCACCAAATTTAACTGCTACAAAAGAAGACATCCTGAATATTTATCACTACCTTTGCTACGCAACTTCAGTGCTTTCAAAGCAGTGAAGGGTTGGGTGGGAAATATTTCTTCCTAATTATCATCAGCAAGGTTTTCAAGGAACCTCCTGAGTAAAAAACACATTCAAGCATGGTATACATGTTTACATCCTAAGAGCCAGCAAATCAACTCAACTCTAGATTAAGAAACTCCCATATACCAGATGATTTTTCTTCACAATGATAAAAAGGCTTCTCTTCTCTCCAGCATTTTTACTCTGTAGAAGAACTAAAGTACAAACACTATAATCATTTTATATAGTCAAAACAGGTACAGGAGCCAATAGTATAAAAGGAACTGATGATACTGGTCTTCATGTTTGATAATGAAGATAGAAAGCATTTATTAAATTCTCTGAAAGTTATTTGGTTAAAAAACCTTGTCCCACAGCACTAATGCAAAAAGCCAAGTGGGCCTGCTGTTTCCACTTCAATCTGCTCAAAGCAAAATGGACCCTGAGCTAAAGAAATGGCTCTCGTCATGATATTCTGGTCTTCTCAGAAAAACTCCTTCCTCAGCAACACTAAAATCACAACATGAAAGGCATGCAGGAGAAGGGGCTGTAGGTCCCTTACTGTTATTTACCTCAGTTTCTTTACACTGAGAACTTCAGTGAATGCCTCTTCACCCACTGGTGTCTCCTGATTCAGTGGTGCACCCCTGGATTCTGGACTATCTTCCTTCAGCTCACCCTGAGAGAAAGCAGGAGCTGGGAGTCTCTGAGCTCCCACCCCGTGAAAGGGCGTTGAGGCCAGG